AATCTCAATCATCATTCTCATTCATCATTCTTCATTCTTATTCATCATTGATTCATTCTTCATTCTCATTCCGCATAGTCATTCTTCATTATCCTTCTCATTCTTCATTCTCAATCATCATTCTGATTCTTCATTCTCATTCTTCAATCTCATTCATTCATACTTCAATATTATTCTTCAGTTTCATTCTTCATTATCCTTCTCATTCTTCATTCTCAATCATCATTCTGATTCTTCAATCTCAATCTCAGTCTTCAATCTCAAACATAATTCCCATTCTTCATCCTCATTCATCATTCTTCATTCTCATACCGCATAGTTATTCTTCAATATCACTCATCATTCTTATTCTTCAATCTCATTCTCATTCTTCATTCTCATTCATCATATACTCTATTAACAATGTGACTAAATCATCGATCAAGTGTCGAGTATCGATAGTCAAGTGTCGAGAGGCGACGGTCTAATGGCGAGTATCAATGGTCGAGTATCGAGTGTCGACAGTCAAGCATCGAGAGGCGACGGTCTAATGGCGAGTGTCGAGGGTCGAGAGTCTACGATCTAGTGTCGAGTGTCGACAGGCATGTGTCGACAGTCGACGGTCAAGTGTCGATAGTAATGTAAGGTATGCGAGGTAAGACAAAGGTTTATGTAAAATAAAACAAACGATTATTGTTACACAAATATTAATTCGTTACTTAACACAAAAATACACAATGAAGTTACACGTAATACGTTATTCATGCTAAAGAAAAGAAATCACAGATAATATAATAAAGTCGACAGAGTTACTACGCGACTAACTAAAACATTTAAATATATTACATTTTATGTGAGAGTATAATTAATAAAAAAATATAAAATCACAGTTTTAGTAATAGACGACAATTTATCACAAAACCAAAATATAACTGGGAGGCAAACTTAGATAACAGCTACAGTTATATCCTTGAATATAAATTGAAGTATAGTTTCAAAGTTATAAACGAGTCAATTACTTGCTTTAAAACTTGCAATACTCGAGTTGAATCAGTTTATAAGAAAATGTTACGATCAAATTCTAAATAAAATTACGTGGAATCGAGTAAAGCCTTCGACGGTGTAATCATCACGCCACCATGTTAAATTTAGACATACAAAACATTTTTACGCCTTAATCCTTACTTTCCATTTTTATCACAGAATTCTTAAGTTCCTCCTTTTACATACTTAAGTTCACTTAAGTGATCCCAATCGACAATTCACAAGGTGTACCTCAAGGCACACTATTAGCACATCTCCTAATACCTTGTCTACATACATGCCTATATAATTGGAATTAACGTCATACAATCTACATTAGTAAACAGTTTCGTCTGAAACCAAAAACCTCAGTCCATTATTAAATTTTTAATTATCCACTAACCTCTTACTAGTTACGTTAAATTTAACTGCGATTCCAGAAAACAAATACAAATTACAAAAATAATAATAGGGGGTAACTTAAGCGTTTAATCTTTTTAAGTTGATATTAAATTCGCTTGTTAGAAATTTTGTTACTCTCAAATAATACGTAGATTTGAAGAAAGAAAAATGTCATACAAGGTTAAACTACTACCATATAAAAATAGATAATAGTGACATCGAAAAGTGTACATTTATTAACCTCTATCACTATCTAAACATATCGAATACAAGCAACACGTACAAATATGTTGTTTGAGACGTTTAAATAGACGTACAGTATTATGTAGCTAACATCTACCGTCTTGTCAATAAACAAATAAAAGATATTCAGCACATTCGACAGAGAATTCATCCCCACACGCTAGAACCTAAGTGGTCTCGGACAGTGCGGTTTCAGAGGCGCTTCCTCCCGCGTACACTTAGATTGTGGAATGAACTTCCTGCGAAGGTTTTCTCACGAGACTACAGCATTGGGAACAGCTTCTAGAATGATATGTTTCAGAAGATATGGCGTACATACATTTTGTAAATAAATATGTTAATTATTAATTTCTAGCACTACCAGTCGCATTAGAAAAAACTTTTGTATTTGATAGACCAATTCTTGGTTAAGGTTATATAGATACCTATATAGGCCATTAAATATATAACATTCAGAAGCTTAAAAAAGGAAAAAAATTAAAACGAAGTAACGCTATGGGGCGACAAGTCCCGAATTCTACTAAATTAAACTCTAGGCAGAACCGCGGTGCAAATTAACAAAATTGTTTTGTTTACTGACAAGACCATTACATTAAACATTCAACATTACTATGCTATTACGATGTTCAAATGACACATGTCCACTACTAGACATATATAGAGTGATATACAACTAACAGTCACTCCTAATAAATTCGTAGTTTAACTGTGGTTTCCGAAAGATACGATTTGCTGAATACTAACAACTAGTGTAAACATTAATGAGATCTGTACGAGACAGGGTTGCCAATCGTTCCGGGAAAGTGTACGAACTTTTTCGAGTTCGAATACAGAATACCATTATCCTCGTACAATTTTGTACGAGATTTTGAACAAACTATTACTCACTAAACGATTACTTGAATGACGAGCGTGCATGGCAATAGTTGTTCATGCACGAGATTTTCATTTAATGTTGTTATTTATCAGTGTCTATGTCACTGATAAATATACATTGTAAATAAACTGCCTTAAAAAAATACGTATTTCTTGCTAGTTCTTCTCAATTTGATATACGAGTATATACTGAACTGGACCGTAGGGAAAAAACAGAATATAAAAAATTTGACGTTCATAAGCGGCATAAAATATCCTACATGAATAAATGATTTTTGAATTTGAAATGAGTAGATTATTTACTATTTCGTCTTCGCAAATATATCGAGATTGAAAGTTCAAGTATTAAACAAGATGGTTTCCAGGGAGACATTTTAGCTACTTTATACCATATGTTACTTTATTAGTTTATTTGATACCGAAATTATTGGTTGACAACCCTGTCTGTAGTTCTATATCTATTACACACATATGGTTATATACCACTACAAGATCAAAGAATATTGTGTAAATATTTTGAGAAAATACATTATTTCTTTAAGATATACAACGGCAGATTTTATAGACGATCCAATAAATGATAACAATAGTTATGTTAAAAGAAATTAAATTAAACCTTGCAAAAATAACTAAAATGTCGTACATGAATAAATAAATTTTAAATTTGAATTTGAATAACCGCGGACAACTCACTAAGTGCCATAGAGTCTCAAACTAAGCAGAGTTTGTACTATGGCAAGATACTAAAAAACTAATAGAAATAAATTCTTTTTTAAATACATCCATAATATAACATCAGACAATTCAAAAATTAATACAAACAATCATATTAATGAATACAGAAGTTAATGTGCTAGAATCGAATCCGCAGTCGTCAAGACACAATAAAGTAAGACTGTCTAAACTGCTTCTGGGGCTATAACAGTGTTACTATTATTTACACTTGCGACTGCTGTACCAGACGGGACAGTTAGAGACCATATAAACTGCCAACAATTCAGTATCAAAGCAATTTACTGCATCATCTATATATCTGTAAATTTTCAACAATCTTCCAATAATTATTCATAAATTGCAGAGAACTAAAATAATAAATATAGAACAAATTGCATATATCGTACACTTAATAATAAACTGAACTGATCTGTACTAATATTATAAAGCTGAAGACTCTGTTTGTATGTTTGAACGCGGTAATCTCAGTGAATACTGGTTCGAATTGAAAAATATTTTTGTGTTGAATAGTCCATTTGTCGAGGAAGACTTTAACCTATATAACATTACGCTACGACCAATAGAAATAAAGCAATTATAAAAATTGTTGCAAAAACGGGGAAAATTATGTAATGTAATTCATACATGAGAGCTGTTTTTTTTTTATTAATAATGGGATTGCGCTTGGTCTTACCTCATCTGATGGTAAATGATGGCAAGACCTAGGATGTAGCGCGCTTACCCAGAAGATATCTATTCACCATAGACTTGAAGAATCCGGGGTTGTATTTCTCTGGGATCACAAATCGTTACGCGGCTTACGTAGTCGCGGGTTTTAAAATAAAGTTGAAAAATCGACCTTAAAGTTTACCCCTTAAGTATGATTTAACAAATTTCTTTTCGAGTCAATTCAGGCCATTATTGTGTACGATATATGTATAAATTATATCTATAATACATATGTTTAAATCATATTTTCGCTTTCGACATATTCAAATACCTTTACAATTTTTCAGTTGGCTAGTTTTGCTGCTTGTACCCGGTGAAGCATAAAGTGTATATGTCATCCCAAAAGTCATGTAGACTACTCATGAAATCAAAACAATTTTCAACAAGAAACAAAATGGAAATCTGAGATATAATCATATGACCATCTCACCGTTCGTCATCGACAGAGAATTCCTCCCCACACGTTGGCACCTAAGTGGTCTCAGACAGTACGGTTTCAGAGGAGCTTCCTCCTGCGTACACTTAGATTGTGGAATGAACTACCTGCCGAGGTTTTCTCGAGAGACTACAGCAAGGGCATTTTCAAGAAGGGTATTTTAAGGTTTCTTAAGAGTCGGCAACGTGCATTAGATACCCCTGTTGTTTAGGCGTCCATAGGCTACGTTAAGCGTTTGCCATCAGATGGACTTTATACTTCATTCCCACCATAGTAGTATAATTTTTTTTTAATATTTCAATACTAAATACATCACAAATTTTCCACTTTGTTTAGGAAAATTGTTCAGTTTTAAAATTATAACACTGGGTTTCATTAAATTCAGTTTCTTGATAAAAAATGATTCAGATTCTTCAATAATACTGCTGACTTTCAGCTTGATATATACTTTACGACGAATCCTGTACGAGACATAACAATATTTATTGTTTATAAATTCTTTCTTTCTTTTTAGTTTATTTCTAAAAACCACAGCATTGGTATGGACTCGTTCAGCTACTGTAGGCCTATTTTCAAATATCATACCTGCCGGTGCAGTAGGCAATGTGTTAGATTTTACTTCTTGCATATCCGTTTCACCCGTCCCTGCTTTATTACTTTTACCATTTTTATGTCCTCGACCTCTGGGTTCTCCAAATACTCATCCAGTATCTATAGGGAATTAACATTAAATTACTGACACGATTCTAAAGTCATCGAGCAATCGAAATTCGATCATAATTAATTTAAATTATAAGGTTCAAAATTATTAAGGATCTATTGTCAAAGACTTATACTATACTTCTATAATCACTGGCAGTCGCAGACAATAAACAAAAGAGTATATATCGTGTGTGAAATACACGGTGTAGTGTGTGTTCATAAATTTTTGTAAAAAGGGGTACAAAGTTTTTGCTTCAGTTATTAATATATATTATTTTTTCCATTTCTATTATGAATAGACCATTATAATTAGAAATAGAAATAACCCTTATTTAAATAAACTTAATATAAGCACTTTTGAAGGATCATATTTCTTTATTCTGCCACTCATTAGAACCGCAGACTGATCACAAGAAGAATGAGCAAGAGACTCGTGTGTTGCTTTTTGAATAAATGTTATTTTAAATCAATAATTACATAATAACAAGTAAGAGGCGCATGCACGCAATGAGGCAGGCAATATAGAAACCGCTACGCACTCATTCTTAGTATAATCAAATAAAACTGTCATCGCTATGAATTTTAAGTGATGTGAATGATGAGCAAGAAACTTGCAGCTTGCTCTTTTAATATCTGAAACTTCATCAGTAAGTTTTGATAATATTATAACAGACGGATATATAAAGTCGCATAAAGGTTCTATTGCAAATTTTTGGTTTGGACCCCTAAAACATACCCCATTTCCCGTTTCGTAGCAAATAGGCGATGCTAGTCTAAACAACAGCGTAAGTACATCTGCGCCCAAACATTCCCATAAAATATTCAACGCGCTAAATTGGTTTTATATTTGAAGTTGCGAGCACCAGTGATGTATCCACATCTCGATGGCTGTTTAGTTTTTGCCCGACTGCTATAGGAGAGTAATGTTTTTTGCAATATCAAACCATCTGAGGACCAACCTGGTAAGCAGATACTTGCAATTGTCGCCTATGTAGGGTAAGTCCAGGATAGATGCGACACAACTAAAATACATCCTCTCTGAACAAAAGTCCGTGGATAATTAAAATGCGGGGTGTCTTTGGCTCCTACGTATACTATTAACTCTTAGTCACGAGTTTCGGAAGTATGGATATATAATCACTATGACTGATTTCCTCTTATTAATTATTTAACCAGTTGGTTATATATTCAATATTTTTTCTATTTGAGTGTTTAATTGAATTAGTGCTAATTGGTGGTTTGTATTCACACACTTAAACTTAAAAATGTAAAGTAATAATAAAAATATTTAAAAGAGCAACACGCAAGTTTCTTGCTCGTTCTTCTTGTGATGAGACAGCTTTCCGCTTTAAATTTATAAATAAATGTTGACAATTGTGAAATAATTAGATACTTATGTACTTATTTAATCATTTATTTGAACAAAAGACGACATCTTTGATTGCCTAAACAAAAACCGGTTATTACCCCGTTCAATACAAATTGAATGAAATCCATCCAAATTACGACGGTTTGAGCTGAGGTTCGAACCCCTAGCAGTGTCTCAGACTAAAATCGCATTGGTCAAGCAAGAGTTGGCCTTCAGCCGCTCCATAAGTCCTTCCTTTGGTTTGGAGTGCTGATCTGCACTCGCCTTCTATCGGTGAAGCTGTAAAGGCCAAGTGCGGCCAACAGCATTAGAGTAATCTAAAAACAAAATAATATAAATAAAACCCAGGATCTCACCTGCATGCTCAGCTCTGACGATATAATGCTTGCAGCCGATGGCCAGTCCGATAAAGCTATGAGTGTCGGCAAGAGGGAGTGACAGTGGGTTTTGGAAACCAGCCAATTGGCCGGCAACGTGCACATTGTCTTGATCACACTCCAGCCATCGCATATTGTCTCCTGTGAACAACGTGAGATAAATAGTACAATAGTATTTATGAACCAAACTCATAAACGTGGAATCTAAAATTTCTAATTGTTACCCTTCATGGTCTAGCGATTTAGCACATAGCCTTCTGATGATCGCGTGTTGGATTCTTTGCAAGGCGCAAACATTTGTATTAGATTATGTATGATTGTTGTTTATGTTAATCTGGGTAATGTCTACATATAAATAAAAAATAATTTAAAAGTTTCTATCAATTGTCTAGTACCCATAACACAAGCTCTGCTTAGCTTGTTACTAAAAGGCGTTGTATAAATTGTCCAGGGCTCTTATTATTCAAATAAAGTTAACATATCCGAACACACTAGAAATTTCGAAGACTAGAAATTCTGTAATATACAGAATTTCTAGTTACCGTTTATAATTAAACGGCAAAACGAATCTTAATGTTTAACATATAGCTATATTGTATCACGAGGACTAACATAGACCATCTATTATGTACATAAAAGCAGACGACAACGCAGGTAATGCTAGCGTCCTATATGAATAAATCATTTTGACTTTTGACTTGTATGCGCCTGTTCGAATCTATACTATTATTATAAAGCTGAAGAGATTGTTTGTTTGTTTGAACGCGTTAATCTCAGGAACTAATGGTCCGAATTAAAAAAAATCTTTTGGTGTTGGATAGTCCATTTGTCGAGGAAGGCTTAGGACTATATAACATTACGCTATGATCAATAGAAGCGGAGCTGCAATGAAAAATATTGCAAAAGGCGGGAAAATGTAACGCAGGGGAAGTTACGCGGGTCAGTTAGTAAAAAATAAAAATGTACTTTGTTTTTTATTACAGAAGCTGAACGTAAATGAAATTGGTAGCTGTACAAACTAATTGTGTATTCTGCAAGTTGTACCCATGTGCTGTAAACGTTACTAACGAGCCATTAATAAATGAAGAGCTAAACAAGTAGAAAGTAAATAAAGGAAGGGACGAGAGCGGGGCGCGAGGAGCGGGACTAGAGTACGCGACCATCGCAACTGTAATGGGTCCACGCAGGGCTGCCAACGAAAGATTTGTAGTTCCAGTACGAAGCATGAAAGCATTGTATCGATTAATTCTGTAGCAAATTTCGAATTACAGAAATTTAAAATAAAATAAATGAAATAATAAAGAAGCCGTAAATAAAGGAAGAAACTAGAAAGGGGCGCGAGGCGTAGGACTAGAAAGCGCAACCATGGCAACTGTAATGGGGCCACGCAGGACTTTTAAGAATGTTTAAAAAAAATTAAAGTATTTGCCAACAAAAGAATTTTATTATCGAGGCATGAGAACATCGTATTGTACAATCTTGTGCAAAATTTCGACCACAGAAATTTAAAATAATATGAAATTATATTTAGTAAACGGTATTGCCATTACCATTATTAAACGACAGACATACTAAAGAAATGTAAAGAAAGAAGAAATAAATAAAGAACGAAAAACGAGCTCGGGCGCTACGCGCGGGACAAAAGTACTAGAGTGCGCAACCATGGCAACTGATATGGGCCCACGCATGATTGCCAACTAAAGATTTTTAGTATCCAAAACGAGAACATCGAATGGTATAATCTCGTAGGAAATTTTGAACTACGGAAATTTCAAATGAAGCTAAATTATATTTACTAACGATCCATTAATGAACCAGGTACTTACTAAACATGTGAAAAGTAAATAAAGAACGAAAAACGGGCGTCGGATGAAGAAACGATCGTAACTGTTATTAGACCAGACAGGGTTGCCATCAAAAGCCATTCTGGCCATTCTGGTCTGTAACACCTACCAGGCATGAAAACAATTATAAAACAACTTATAAACCGATAGCCAAAATCTCGTAAGATTTTGGCTATCGGTTTATAAGTAGTTTATTCACTGCAGATGAATCTTTAGAAAACCTCATTTTATGATGTAAGCATGAATCTAAAGTATAAAAACATTATTTTGGTATTACTGTCGTCATGAACATGATTACAAATATACAGATTTATGTTTAATCAAAACACAATTAGAGTCTCATTTAAAACCAGTTACAAGCAGAATTTTTCGTCACTTAGTCATTCTCATTTCAAACTATAATATTTCAAATTCAAAGATTCAAAGTGTCTGTAATAGAACTATCGAATTAAAAGATATTATTATTTATATTGATTGATAAATAATTAGTGTAGTTAAGTAATATATCCGTAATCCGTAATCCGTAAATATGTTACACCTATTTAAATAAAATATAGTTTCAACGTTGTCAACCCTGGACCTAGGTTACTTCCTTGAGTTACACCCGCACCTGTGTCCGTGAGAATGTCTGCTTCCCTTCTTGTAAACTGTAATTGTGTATTCTGTTGAAGTGCCGTAATAAATTACGGTCCTTTTTTATGGTCAGTGCTATTTTTTAACCGATTACAAAAAAGATGTTTCCAATTTGCGTTATCGTCCACCTTCCGCATAATAAAATCTATTTAAACTGAGAAAAAATTAGTTATCCTAAATGACTCGTATCTGTTACAAAAATAATAATCAAAATTTATTCATCACTTGCTAAATCATCCTGCTATACACATAGGAACACCCAAGAAATTAAAAACTGAGGAGTTACAGTTAGAAAGGAAAATAATATTAAAACAAATAATTTGACGTTCATAAGCCGCTAAAATTTCCTATGTTAAATAATTTTTTATTTCATTCGAAAAGTTCCTGTTTTAACCTAATATCATAAAAAATACACGAATTTTTATTTGTAATGTATAAACTTAAAAAGCTTTATAAAAATCACTTATACAAAGATAACTAGACTTTGTAAAAAGTCATCTACATAAGTACCACATCCTCACCTATTTTAATCGCCACAAAATAACATGATATCCGTTCACGTATCTAGGCAACGATTACCACCATCAAACGATCTAACTGGAATCGAATGCATTCCAACTACATAAAACATCTACCTCATCAGGGAGTCAGGGAGTAACATGGGAGTATTGAAATTAAAAAAAAAATTAATCCCTACAAAGAATAGCACGCAAAGACGGAGCTGGTCACTAGTATACCTTGGGAACGTTCCCGAGATATCGCATAAAAACAAACGGTTAAAGGACCAACACCTGTACGGAACACGTGTTAGGAGCCCGCATGTGAACGCAAAACGGACATCAAATTAATGAATTGCATAATTAGACGCTGTTAACGTTCATTGGTCATAAAAAAATATGAACTACTTGTGGCCCGCCAAAGTTTCGACCGGGTGTTCATAAGTTTATTGGTTTTGTTCATATGAACATATACGTGAAGATCCTGTTAGTATAGTTTGCTGAGATGAATATCGAGCGACTATTCGAATAGTAGCAACAAATACAGACATGTGAAGGTAGACGCATATGTCTGCCCATAAAAAGACTTTATTTACCATCTACCCGCTGCTCTTCAGTTTACCCGTGATCATGGCGGTCGTAACACTGCCGAAATATCGGGAACTCGATAAAAATAAAATATGGTAATATCTCATGATTTACTAATTATACGTATAAATAATGATCACGTCAATTTAAAACAATAGATATGACCATAATATACAGTGTGTATCACTCTGACAGTTTCTAACCACTTAGCTTGAGGCGAGACTTCGCATCGCTTTGTGTTCTACCGAATATTGGGTTGTTTGGGCTATTGTCAGATGTTAGTAGCACCTGTAGCACTGCGACCTACATAGATCTATTGTGCTCGCAAAGTCTACCGAATATACAACGGACTTTATTCTGAAGAATTGTTGATGCCCACGACTACCTTTTATCATAACGCCGCTCGCCATCGACATGGAATTCATGCGGTCTCACAATTTGGAACCTAAGTGGTCTCAGACAGGAGGTTTCTCCCGCGTACACTTATATTGTGGAATGAACTACCTGCCGAGGTTTTCTGGTGAGACTATATATAGCATGGGAATTTTCAAGAAAGGTATATTGAGGTTTCTTAAAGGTCGGCAACGCGCACATGAGATCCCTGATATTTCATATGTCCATGGGTTACGGTAACCATTTACCATCAGATAAATAGCCACAAATGTGAAATGAACTACCTGCTGAAGTTTTCTAGTCGTATACTGTATGCTTGTTTGCCACCATCAAAGTAAAAGAAAAAAAAAAAGAAAATCCACATTACTAACCCTAGTATTTTAAAGTTAAAAATACTTTTGTAATTTTTTTGTTAACAGTTCAAATTTTTTATATATTAGATTTTCAAATGTGACTTCACAAAATTTAAGACCCTCTCCTACCTCTTGTCACACTATGTCGACCTTTTCCCCCTTCCTTCACTCCCTAGCTGGCCTCTACTCCTTCCCTGTCGATGTCGCGTAATTTTTGGATGCTCGCTCATTATCAGGTTGCACTCACCTGAATTTTGGGATTGTTGACCACCACGAAGCCAACCAGCACGATGAGGTCCAGCACCATCGTTTCTGACAACGAGTGGTCGAGACGCTGGTTGCTGAGTCCTACATGGAAAACAGACGTAAGTTTAATATAGCTAGCAATGGCGGATTGGTCCCACGGATCATTATGTACCACCAGTGAAAGATTTTGTTACATTTTTTTAGAGCTTTTTGCAAATTAAGTCCCATCTGTAATGGCTTTGAGAATTGAAGTACATATTTTAGAGTGTTATTATACATCTACATAGATAGATAGACAACATAGATAATGTAGAGTCTCATAATTTTTTTCTACAAATTTCACTTACGCAAAGCGGTTTTCCTGGGTGCTTCCTTGTCGTTGGGCGCGTGCTGTGACAGCAGCCTCGCCACCGCCGCCCTGAACTCCAGCGGCCATCCGCCCTCACCGAATGCGTCCTATGAACAAACGAACAATAATATCTTAATCATTACATAGTATAATATAAGGGTATATTAAGGTTTCTTAAGGGTCGGCATCGCGCACGTGATACCCCTGGTGTTTCAGGCGTTCATAGGCTATGGTAACCGTTTACCATCAGATGGTCCGTATGCTTGTTTGCCACCATCATGGTATAAAAAAAACAGTATAAAATAAAGTCGCTGTCGCCGGCCCTGACTTAAATTGTTAAAACTACGCAACGGATTTTGAAGTGGTTTTTTAAAATAGATAGAGTGATTCAAGAGGAAGGTTTATATATATAATACATGTACACCCGAGCGCAGCCGGGTCGAGTACCTAGTTACATAGTATAAAATAAAGTCGCTGTCGCTGTCCGTGGAGCTCCCGCCACCTTCTACGATCTTCTATCAATCTTTTTAGCTGTTGATACGACATGACTCCAACTTTTTCTTTAACCTCCTTGATATAGATGTGTCTTGGTCTTCCCTTTCCTCTCTTTCCATCTATTTTTCCTTCGTTCGTCGTGTCGTATCAAGTGCCCCAACATTTTTCTTTCTTTTTTTTTTTATTCTTTATTGCACTTTAAAAGAGTGTACAAGAGGCGAGCTGAATGCCATATGGCATTATCTACCAGCTAACCTTTGGGTAGAATTTTTCCCCGCCTATACTCAATAATATCTATGACATGGCTCTTTTTTTTAACCCTTTCGACGTTGTACACCTAATTCGATAAAAACACATCTTATATATAAAATTCTCGTGTCACAGTTTTCGTTCCCATACTCCTCCGAAACGGCTTGACCGATTCTCATGAAATTTGTGAGCGTATTGAGTAGGTCGGAGACTCGGCCAACATCTATTTTTCATCCCCCTAAATGTTAGGGGTAGTCCACCCCTAATTTTTTTTTTTTTTTTAACATTAGTAATATCTATTATAGTCTTGAGAATCCCATCAGGCATTAAGACCCTCATGTATACATTTTAGTGTGCAAAAGTATAAATAAATAAATTCTTGAAGGTTTCCGACTTTCAGTGACATGTGACCCCGGCAAGTCGAGTCCAAGATTTTGTAAGTGTCATGTTCAACGGCGAGTTACAATTGAATTGTGCGGGCGGCTCGCGTGACCCGATCTCGTTACCGCGGGAAGCTGTGACGCCAGATTTACTCTCGCCGCTGACAGTTATCCCTGCTTAACTTGTACAGATTTTGTTAGGGTTTGTGTCGGGATTTGGCGGTGATTTTGGATTTACAATGTAGCATTATTTCGCTAGATCTTTGTAATATATAGAATGAAATAAGAAAACACTATTGTCCCTCTCAAAGAAATAATATAACAATTGTATAAATTAACTAGCTGTGCTCATGGTTTCTTCTCGTGGTATGTTATTCTGATGTATAGCTTATATTACTGTAAGATTACATAAAAATTCGTTCAATAGTTTTTGCGTGAAAGAGTAACAAACATGTATCCATCCTCACAAAGTTTATAATATTAATAATAAGATATGTATATCTTATTAGTATACATATAAACAAAATTGGAGTGTCTGTTTGTAATATTGAAATAACCGTTTTTAACTACATGCATATGAATATAAATACGGTACATACACCAAAATAACATTTTTAAACTCTGAAATGGCTATACCAATTTTGACAGACTTTTTTTGGCAGGTAGCTGACGTAATAAGGAGTAATTTAGGCTACTTTTATTTTAGGAAAATAAAGTTAAATTCCACGCGGACGAAGTCGCGTGTAATTTATATCACAGCCGAGGAAGACTTTTAAAAAAAAATATAATTTTCTAAAAAATATTTATTAAATACTACACCACTGGCAGCTCCGCGATGGAGGCCGGTTCTTACAATTCTGTTGAAATATATATTTTAATTTAATAGGAAAGTGCTGCATCGTCAGCGAAACTGCACGTGGAAGAATTTTGTAGCTGACGGTGCAGCCTAGATTACTGTAAGGGTTATTACACACTGTTGTATATTAAAATAATTACAAATTATTGTTACATATATAACACGTATATAACACCTCCATCCTTAGAGAAGCCATTATCTCACTTGGAGTGTAAATGGCGTATTGGAAGATGTATCAGGAATGCTGACAGCTGCATGCGGGACACTATACACTACTTCAGGTGTCTGTTGATCTCGTTGTTGTTTACATTTCATCTTATAAATGATTATACCAATGATTGTCAATATGAATAGAAAATATGCTGGAACGGTAAGTGCGATATGACTTGGTTTTATCTCGGTTTCTTTTATTAACGGCTCCTCTTTCTGTATGAGATGTTGTAGCTCATGTAGTTTACTCAATGATATGTCCCTTAAGTTGAGAGTAGATGCAGATTCACTGATATTGGTGCGAGACATGTCTAGTGATATCAATGTTACGGGTGAACCGTTGATTTTGTTATTTCTATTATAAATCTTCGATAATGGTGTAAACAAGGAACAACCAGTAGGTATATTTACCAGGATGCTGCCAATATATATATTAAAAATATCAGATTTGCATCTTGTTTCAATTTTTGTCTCTGACGATAAGCTCAGAATATAATTAGCTTCATCTAATTGTTCTATTATTTCTGTGTTCGTGTTTTTTATTCTTACAAACTGGCATATCGGTAAGATGATTTGATGAGTTATAAGATGATGGATGCAATCTGGTGATTGAGATGTTATTTTATCCTCTTCTTTGCAGATATAAATTTCTGTTATGTGCTTACACTCTCTCTCGATGTAGCTGTATCTATTATCATTCATTGCTAAATAGGGTTTATGTGGAATAAGGATTGTATGGTGAACAGTGGGGATAGGGATTAATTTGTACAATGTAAATGACGTGGGTTGGAGTATTGGGATTTTAAGCACAACTACTATAGTGTTTCCTTTAAAGTATGATCCTGTACTGATTATATCGTAATATTCCCTGATTTCATTAGATAAAATTGATACTAATCTATCGCTGCTGTATATATCTGCGAGTGTTTTTATTATTTGTTGTATATTAACAATAGATATCATCTCGCGATGGCATATACCTAATTTTGTGAATGCTAATATATTCTCTAAATTTGTTAATATTTTAGTTATGACTTCGATATTATTATTTAGGTCCAAATAAATAGAATCTAAGTGCAATCTCTTTCGAAAATGTATGTCATATTTTGCAGTAATATTTTGTAACTGATTAATAGAATTCTGTATATGATATTGATTTTCTATCAATCCTGAGATGGTGGTATTTATTTCATGTAATGCCTGTTTATTTATAGATATATTTTTATTAATCTTACTTATAATATTATTCTGGTTACTGCTTAAACTACTAATTGCAGAATCATAACGAATCGCATCATTATAATCTAAATTTCCCGTAATCCTCTTAATAATAGACCCAAATTCATTAATTAAACCTCTCTTAAACCTATTATTTGATAGTCCATTGTACATGGATATGATAGTGTCTATATTGTTTGATATATATTGACGTTTAGAATAATACATATAATTATCAAATTCCACTTCCTTAAATTTACTCTCTAAATTATCCATATAACTTTTTTGATTAATAATAGTCTTGATAGATTCCTCTATATCTTCTAATTCTATGGGATGTATAAAACTATGCTCTAACTCGACGAGTTTAGTTTTGCCTAACTTAAATGGTAGTATTCCTGGATTATCCGTAAGGCGAGTTATAACTACTTCCTGCTGAGCTTTCGTTGCTAGAAGTATCGCTACGATCGTCCTGCAACAAATTTATTGTATGTTTTAGGGGCCGTCTGACGTTTCTCCTAGCAATCCTGCGTCCATTATCTAAATCTATAGCAAGGGGGTCCACGTCTTTAACAATTTGTTTTTTATACTTGGGTTCTATTTTGTGTCTACTATCTGTTTTTTCGAATATTATTTGACCTGGTGAAACTGAGGGTAAGGCTTCTCTATCTTTATTAATATTAGTTATTTGTTTTTCATGTTTTCCAGAACTATAGTCGTGTATATTTTTATATAAAGATTCAGTTAATTTTTTATGTTCGACAATATACTGTTGAATATATTCTTTATTATATTTTATATCTAAGGGGTCCTGACTGTCTAAATGACCTGATATAACTTCAAATGGAGTTTTATTTGTCATAGAATGTATAGAGCTGTTATAACCGATGACTGCATTGATTACTAACTCACATGTTGAAGATTTTGGATATAAAGCAGTTTGAATACGCACATGTTCTAATAATGTTGAATGGAAACGCTCTATGGTGCCATTAGACTGGGGGTTTCTAATGGTTGTAAAATGGGTTTTTATCTTGTACATATCTAACAGTTCCCGTATAACGTTATTCTTAAATTCCTGACCTTGGTCAGATATAATTAATTGAGGGGTACCGTGATGCGAGAAATAAATACGTAGAGCTTTAGCTACGGATATGGCGTCTGCCGCAATTAATAAGTAAGCTTGTGCATACTTGGAAAAACTGTCTATAATAGTTAGGTATTTTTCTTTAGCTACTGTAAGTATATCCATAAAGACTTTTTCGAATGGTTTACTTGTTACAGGTACTAACTGTAATTCAGCATTTACTGGTCGTCTTTCATATTTAGAACTATTGCAAACGAGACATGTATTAACTATTTCCGAAACGGTTTTTGACATATTAGGCCAGTAATATTTTCGTTTTAATGCATTACAATTTTCTTGAATACCACGATGGTTGCTTTTACCAACGTGGTGTTTTCCAGCTATTTCCTTCTGTCTACTTTCCTCTAGAATATCTTCTAATAATGTGTCACACAACATTAAATTATAAGAATTATTTTTAAATGTTTTTTGCAATACTCTGACTAATTCTTCTTGATAATCTTTTTCTATTAATATGCCTATCTGTTTGTTTGGACTGATGTAATCCTTAAATAGTTTAATAATATCTTTTTCGAATGATTTTATTCCTATTTGACTACTGTACCTCATTTT